AGAACACGAGATGCACGTTCTGTGTTCCAATAAAACCCAAGGTACACGCTGGGGATGAGAAGAGCCCAGCTGCAAATATTGACATGGGACTTCAGGCAGGATTTTAGTTTTCATTTTTTCCCCTCCCTGCTGTGGTACAGTCTGTCCTCTCTGGAAGTCATTCAAATGCCTGCCTGGGACTTGAAATAAAAAAAAAAAAAAAGAGATTCTGTTGGGTGGTTTTTTGGGGTATTTTACCAACAGGAGGAATTGTAGTGCTGGGGATGGGGGGTGTGACACAAAAGAGTATAATTTTTTTTTCTCTCCTCTTCTCCCCCCAGAAGGAGCCACAGACAACTCTGCCAAGAAGATGGAGAGAAGGAATGATGATCAGTCCATCCTGGATGCCAGAGCCCGTTACCTGGAGCGGAAGCAGCAAAGAGCACAGGGCTTAGGTGGCCCAGTGAAAGAAACGGGGTAATTCTGGTGGCAGCTCCACTCCCATGTGAGGGAGGGCGGTTTGTGCAGCTCTGGGGATGTTTGCACGATGCAAAGTGACTCACAGGAATGGAGGGAAACTTCTGCTTTGTGGTTACTTCAGTGCAGAAGAGTAAAACACAACCTTCCTTTGCTGCATCCAGCAGGGAAAAGTGACCAAGCTGAATTTTGTTGCTGCGTGTCACTGGCAACAGTTTACTGGCTGGAAGACTGTGGTGCCAATTCTGCAGCATTTAATTGACTTAGAAAGGTCTCAGTGCCAACAAAAATAAAATTTTCTTAAAGATTGGCTGGTTTTTTTATTTTTTTTTTTAAGGAGTGGAACTGTAAGTTTTTATCCATTTCACTCACTATGATGGTTGTACAGCCTCAGTGCTCATCCACTCCTCAGTTAAATGTGTAGGAAGGGCTCTTTTGATGATGGAACCATCAGGATTAAATCCAGAAGGACATTTGCCCCCTGCATTCCCTGCTGCACCACGTACAGGGATGGCTCTGGGTGAAGATGTCTTTGTGTGCCAAGTGTTCTGGCAATGTTTCCACATTCCTGCTAACAATGCATAATTTTTGTCAGGGATGACTTAGCACTGTGGGTTTTCCTGCTGGCAAAGGAACCCACCCCAG